CCCCCCCCCCCATTCTCTGTGGCCCTGTCAAGCTCCATTTCTTCTCTGAGGTTTCACCCCGCTCACTCTATCCTCCTTCCTCCCTGAATCTCATTCACTTTCACCAGGGTAGGGTAAGGGGTTGGGTTGTAGGCTCTGGTCTTGGGCCAAAGCATTCGGAGTGTAGGAGGGGATGCTCTGAAGGTAGGGGGCTGGGGTGGATCTCCTGTGAACTTAGGGCTAGGGCATCAGCTTCTGGAGCCCAGGGTGGGAAGTTCAAAGCTTGCCTCCCTTCTATCCACTCTGAGTGACCAGACAGCCAACTACAAACAAGGGACCCAACTGAAGGTAGGGAGGTGCTGTGAGTTCTTGAGTGGACTGGGGAATGTGGCATTTGTCTGGGGAGCACAGGGTTGGGGACTTCAGTCTTCCTCCCATGCTCACCCTGGTAGCAGTCAGACGGCCAACACGTGATAAGGGATCTGCTGAATGTAAGGAGGTGGGTTGGATTCTGGAGTGGAGTGGAGTGAAGTAGGGGTTAGGGCATGTGCAAGGTGGTGTATTCAAGTCCCACCCACCTTGGGAGCAGCTGGACAGCCAACCCAGACTGGCCCAGAGATGGAGCTGGCTCCTGCATTAGGAAGGCAGCATAAGGGACCCACTGGAGGTAGGGAGGCGGAGTGGGATCTCCAGTGAACTCTGGGATTGGATCCTTGCCCATTCAGGCAGTGGCTGGGTAGCCAACACCAGCTGCCCCAAGGATGAACCTGGCTCCCACATTCTGAAAGCAGGATAAAGGGACCTGTGGGAGATGGGGTGGGCTTTGTAGTAGACTAGGGATTATTGCATTTGTCAGGGGGGAGTGCAGGGTTGGGGGCTTGAGTCCTGCCAGCCCACCCTGGGAGCGGCCAGCCAGCTGCCCCAGGGATGGAGAAGCAGAGTTAAGACAGACCTGCTGCTACCCTGGCTCTGCACCATCCCTGAAAGCAGCTGGCATGTACAGCAGTGGCTCCATGTGCTGCCCCTCATCTACAGGCCCTCACCCCACAGCTTCCACTAGCCATGGTTCTCCATTACTGATCAATGGGAACTGCAGGAGTGGTGTCCCCAGGCAAGGACAGCATGTAGAGACCCCCTGCTCTGACTTTCTCAGGGGTTGCAGGGATATGCTAGACACTTCCAGCAGCAGCAACCCAGACACTTCCAGCAGCAACAACCAAAGGGATAATTACTCCAGATATATAGACACTTCCAGCAGCAGCAACCAAAGGGATAATTACTCCAGCAACCAAAGGGATAATTACTCCAGATATAACAGGTTAGGCAATTTAGAACTCACTACTCAAAGAATTAAATGTAAGCATAAGAGAGAAATGAAAGTTATGAAATGCACAGACAAATCAAAAACCAAAAATTATCCCACTTTGCAAGCAGTAAAGTAGTAACAACCCCCCATCTCATCAGGAGATGAGAGGGAAGGACAATGTGTGTTTGTGAGAATGACAGAGAGACACACAGGTTGTGAGTGACAGATTTGCATTGCCTAACTCCCTCCATCCCCTTCTCTCTGTGTGGAAGAGTGACAGATTTGCATTGTCTATCTCCCTCCATCCCCTTCTCTCTGTGTGGATATGGGGTACAGGAATAGGGGGAGGAAGGACACCTGGACATCAATGCCCCCCTCTTCTCCCTCCCACACCCTGCACAGAAAGTAGGAGGCTCCCAAGGGGCAGCTCCAAGACAGAGGGCAGGAGCAGTATGACAGGGTGGAAGGGCAACTGAAGTGCCAGCACTTGATGGCTTCCCAACCAAACCAGTCAGGATCCCCTGTCAGAGACTCCAAGGTCTACCTGTAGATTCCGATCTACTGAGTGTGAATGTACAGTTACCTTCCTGTTGCTTTCCTGTTTTGGAACTGAGCTACAGTTGAGACAACTTATCTTGGATCCGAAATCTAAAGCTTGATAGAGAAAGTTCAAGATGAAATCCATTTATAATTTTTATATAAGGTCTGTTTACCTTAAAATAAGCAATTATTAATGAACAGGACTACTCTAACACACAAAGTTATCACATGTCAATGTTTGGCTTTGAACACCATTCTCTGGTTGACTGCAAGCTGTAGAAATCTGACCCATGAGGTCTCTCAAATCCCAAGCTTAAAATAAGGGTTGTTTTACTGCATGGTGTATGGGAGAGATGTCAGTCACCTAACAATATCTGGGCAACATATTTTTCCATACATTAAAACACTGGTTTAGACCCAAGAAGCCACTGCTATCCTCCTCCTTTTAGGTGCCTTAGGAAAGCTCATTGTGAAAACTTGTTTAGCGTTGATCTGCAAGTTTTTGTACCTTTAACCAATGTTTCTTATCCTTGTCTTAGGATATTTTTCTGGTCTGAATTTATTAAAAAGACCTAGTAAGCCCTGTTATGAGATTTAATTTTTCACTGGGTTGGGGGTGCTGGTTTATTTTAGGATATGGGAAACCAGATGTTTGTGTAGGTACTACATATTGCCTAAGGAAAGAGAAGGGGAGTTACCAGTACCAGAAAGTGGCCATTTTGGATAGAGGAGCAAAACCGTATGGCCTAAGAGCCTCCATGTTAGAAAGTTAGAGGCTGGTGATGAAAACACACCATCATAACAGCTTCTTGGATTCCTTTGGGTCTTACAGCTGTGCAGTTGGCTTGAATGTTATACACTGTTGGATGAGAACATGGATGGTAACATTTGGAGAGCCTCTCTTGAGTGTTGATCCAAAGTCACTTGAAGTCAATGGAAGATTTTTAATTGACTTCAGTAAGCTTTGTTTCCTACCTTTTGAGAGGCGGTGACAACCCTGGCTCCACACTTGCTGAACCACACATGCCTTGTACGTCTGAAAAGCTAAACTCTGCATCTGTAATCAGGGGCCTATTTTTGGTGGCTACTACCTAGGGTATTCAACAAAAATACTGGACACATTTGACATTACATCACAATCTACGTTACATCTTATTTAGAAAATACCGGACATTTATATTTTCTCATTTATATTTTCTGTTTGTTTCCTGAACAGAAAGCTCAAATACGGCACTGTCCAGTTCAAAACTGGACACCTGGCAACCCTACTACTGCCTTAAAAGCTAGATGCATCCAAATTCACATTGGAAACTTGCTGACAGTTAATTTGCAAATTAGGGCAACCAATTAAGATCACATTTTAATATCCTGATTTACATATTTGGCAATTTGAGTGAGATCTAGAGAAAACATTCTAGTGTGTAAAGGTTTGTTGGCATGAGTTTGTGTTGGCTACACTACTTCATGAGAGGCAAAAAAATCCCTAATTTATACCAATAAAACCTTTACCCTGCACCTAACCAGCATGAATTCTTTGCATTCAGCACATTGTAGAAAAGCTATCTTGGAAATGTTTGAGAGAGTTTATAAAGTGCTGTTTGATACTATGTTTTGTATCCCTCTCCCAGTAAAGCCAGAGGCTTTAATTATTATCTCTCCAGACACAGGAGAGAGACGGATACTGGAGCCAAAGATTCAAGGACAATCAGGAGCTAAATGCAAGACGCATTAGGAATATCTGTGTTACTCCTTCTCAACAAGGATGAGGCAAGAGAAAGAAGAAATCGAATCATTTCAGAAGGCTCAGGCCTAAAAACCAAACGTCCCAACACTCATTGCACTCACACAGGTCCCCTTTGCCTGCTGCTTTGTCTTAGGTCAGGAGTGGGGTTGCCAGATGGTTTCAGAAAACACACACACACACACACACACACACCCCTCCCCCCGAGTAATAAGCAAAAAAACCAAACAAACCCAGCATGGCCCCTTTCAGAAACGCGTGACCCCGAGAAATAAGCAAAAAAACCAAACAATCCCAGCATGGCCCCTTTCAGAAACGCGTGGTGAAGCTTTTTGGCCCTAATAGGCTGCCGGCGGCCACCCACCATCTTACCTCCCTGCGTGGGGCCGGACAGCTCTCCTGTGGAACTCAGTAAGCACCTGGGATTTTTGCCTTCTGGCCGGGAAAAAATCAGAAAGTACCAGACATTTTAGGTATCTGGTATTTTCTGCATTTTTTTACCAGACAGGAGGCGAAAATATGAACTGTCTGGTTCAATACCGGACACCTGGCAACCAAGTCAGGAGAAGAGCTGTCTGTAGTGTTGTATCAGATATACAGAGAGAGGAGTGATTCTTTCTGAGCTACGTATTAGAAACTGAGATTCATTGGGTCATTGTAGTACTCAGCTAATGCACTCTAGGGGAGGAGGCAAAGCCTGAAGCAAAACACTCTTTAAAGTTTAAAACAATGCAGCTAAACACAGTATTGAGGGTGGGATGGATAGATAAAAAGAGCATCCCCCTGAGAGAGATGGCCTGAACTGACAGTGCTGCAAAGGCTACAAATCCCTGAAGGATAAAACAACTTGCTTCATGATTCCCAAAGCCACCATGGCAGTCCTAGTCCATGCCAAGATTCCCATCATTCCATAAAGAACTCACTGACCCTCCAAAAAGGCCTCCGGGCCTCTTCAGCTTCTACATGTTTTTCCCTAGTGAAAGTGAAAATCAGCAACATTCTTACTCAGGTGCCACTGGCCACACGTTTTTTGTGGACACTTCTGTGGAATTCATCAGTCACTTAGCCATAGCAACAGCTGCAAACAGGGCAGAATTGAAGGCTATGCCTATTATTCAGGGCGTAGTCAGGCTAAATAATTACACACATCTGCCAAATTCAGCAGAGACCAATGTGAGGTAGATGTAGACTGAAATGAGAAAATGCTAAAATGAAAATTCTCTCATAAGTCTGTACTTCTCTTGTGATTGCATGAGGTGTGCCTTTTGCCAATACCAACAGAATAAACTATCCAAAAGATGAAAGCTATGGGGAAGGTATCCCAGAGGAAGAAAACCATGTTGCAGGGCAACATCTCAGGACAATTCTTGTTCAGGCAAAATCTGTGACTGTCTGGAAAAACAAGCTTTATGTGATTGTCAAACTTTTGCCTTCAATAACAGACTTTACATCTGGCAGATCAGTGGGCATGAAGAGCATCTGAACCCTTGGAACTATCAAGGCAACCACAAGGAAGATGTATATGGCCCCTTGAAATCTAGGAGCCCTCTGAAAAGCTTGTGTCTATGAAAAGTCCAGATCATCTCCTGGATGTAGCAGGGCTGCTCTCCAAGGATGAAAGGTTGGTAGATGTACTCTATCTATTTTATGATTGCCAAGAGTCAGTTAGGCCATTATAGATCTGAAGCAAATCAAATTCAGGAAGGGAAAGTCTGGTTTAAATATCAGCAGTGATTAAGAAAGTAAGAATGGCCATATTGGGTCAGACCAAAGGTCTGTGTGGCCCAGTGTCCTGTCTTCAAGAGCAGCCAAAGCCAAATGCTCCAGAGGAAATGAACAGTACATCAAGTGATCCATCCCCCTGTCACCCATTCCCAGCTTCTGGCAAACAGTGACTAAGGCCATCAGCCTTGCCCCTCCTGGCTAATAACCACTGATGGACCTAACCTCCATGAACTTATCTAGTCCTTTTTTTTTTTTAAAGTCATGTTAGTCTTGACCTTCACAACATCCTCTGGCAAAGGATTCTACTAGGGGAATTTGACATCTATACACTCCTTTGCATTATTCATGTTGGAGGTATCTACTCTTCTGCTACAATGGAATGTGCTGGTAAAACAACACACTATCGCTCAGGCTTGTCTCTTTTCCCTGAGAATTTTCATCAATGTGTTAGTGGCTTACATGTCTTTTCCAATTTAGACAACATCCTCATCAAGACTGAGAACCAGGAAGGAACTAGAGATGGCTACAGAGTTCATAAAATTCCTGATTTCCCACAGATTGAGTCAATTACCAGTAATTTCTCAGACTAGGATGAATCATGGCAGTGGAAATGTGTCATGCTGCAACAGCACGGATGCCTAAGAAGGGCCATCTTTCCTAGTGGCTGCTCCCTGTTCTATATTATGACATAACTCAGTTGTGATGTGACAATCCTGGCAGATGCGTTTGTCCACCTTCTCAAAGATAACATTAGGTGCCAGATACACAGAATGGATCAAATGTGATTTAACGTTGTGTAAACCCCTCCAATATTAAATCTAATCCACTCACAGAGATGATGCAATTGTAGATTTATCCATCTTCCCTTCATATAGATAGAACCCTTGATTGGGTTGTGGGGGAGTTTTGTTTTTGGATATAAGGTTTTTGGTCAAATGGTTTTAATCATATAAAATGGTGCAAATGTTTTCTGCTAATGAACTTGGAACGGGGAGCAGTTCTCTTGAGACATTCCTTCCTGGGAGAGGCACAGCTCCACCCAGCGAGGCACTCAGATAGCATGGTGATGGGGCATATGTAGCACTCAACTAGTAAGATGCCCTGTGTATTATCAACCCATTTGCACAGAGCACAAAGCTCATCCCAGAGTTGAAGGCACCCAATGAAAAGTGGCTTTGAAAAGCCTTTTATTCTGACAATTTTTAAACTTCTTGCTTTCTCTCTCTCAGATATTTAGGCTACTAAGGATGCCAATCACTATTGTGTCACATGAAGATTTTCATTAACCCCTTTTCCTTCAGATGGTTCAACAAGAAAAATAAAGCAGTCAGGTGACCCTCAAATTTGAGGGCTTCTTTGTAACTAATTTCCCTTCTATAATTTCTCATGTTACTATGGAGGCAAGTCTGTGGGTAAGCCATATAGGGACTGGAATAGGCTGGCAGTTTTTGCTTGGAACATCCTCTGCCCTATTAGCTGATGTTCACCCTGATGTGAAAATGTTAAATGGGTTTGCTGACTCATTAATGCAGCTGGCTTATCACCTGGACCTGCATATTAGAAAGTTTGAGTCTACAAGTTCTTCTTGCCATGTAGTAAAAGAGAGGCCTACTAGGAAACTGGAGTGGGACTCAGATCTGTAGCCCTGCCTAGCTCTGTCACAGATTTCCTGTGTGACCATGGGCAGATCACTTAATCTGCCCTGTGCCACAACGCTCATCTGTAAAATGAAGTAGTACTTCCTAGCCTCACAGGGAGGTTGTGCAGATACATTCATTGATGTTTGTAAAGCTCCAGCACTTTGGTCATTGGGACCACAACAGTATCTAAAAGATAAAGAGGAGAGGTGAAAGGGACTTAGACTTGCTCCTGGTCAGTAAGGAGTGCCACACCTACTACTTAACCTTTTATATAGCCTCTGCTCACACTTGCTCTGAAAGGCATATAGTAGTCAAGGTGAGAAATTAGCAAGACTTATTACCCAGCATTTTAGCAGTGGATATAGAGAGAAAATTATCCTACTTGGAGCTAAGTGATAAGGAAAGTATTCTAATGCCATAATAAAAATGACTTGGATGTTCTCCCAGATAAAGTTTTCTGCTATGGGAAATTGAGGAAGAGCCTGAGAATGGTAGTAACATTTATTAGAGGCTTTGGGGATTGTTTGGCTTTCTGACCAAAAGACACAACAAAGCTTGGAAGTATGTAGGGTGAAAAGAAGAAAAATCAAATGAAAGAAGGGTGTAAGACAATGCCTTTGTACAGAAAATCAATCATGTTCAGCACAAAAAATTAAAACAAGAGGGCATCATATATATAGTAGCCCAATGTCTGAGAGTCTGTAACGCTGTAGTGTTACAGTCTTGCCTCTGGGGGGCACTCTTGCCTCCTGCCGTGGTGCTCGGCTGAGTTCCTCCGCGGCGGCCTGGCCGAGTGGTGCAGAAGTCAGCCGAGCACCACGGCGGAAGGGGAAAGGGGGCGGGGCAGTGATGTACATGGCCCTGCCCTCTTCCCCTTCCGCCATGGTGGTCGGCTGAGTGCTGCACGCTCAGCCGGGCTGCCGCGGGGGAGGCCAAACAGCCGCTTGCTTCCCCGCAGTGGCCTGGCTGAGCGGCGCAGAACTCAGCCGAGGGCCATGGCAGGAGGGGAAGGGGGGTAGGGTGGTGACATACATGGCCCCGCCCCCTGGCCTTGTACGTCCCTGGGATAGGGTGTAAAAAAAACGGACACCCTTGATTGGGGCAGGAGGGGAGAGGGACCG